GCTTTAATTGAATATATGCTTTGGTTAATGTAAGGGATTGCACCATTTTGAGATGCTGTGCATTTACTGACATGCCACCAGATGAGAGTTAGATAACGTTTACAATTTTCTGGAAGCAGTGAAATCTACAGTTCTCTACTCTCTCTCTCTCTTAATTGGTCTAAATTTTGTACCATTTAGCGAATAATAAGTTAAATGATCAACTTAAGAAAGTTATGTACTAGCTCCAAGAATCTCCTGTTTTTGAGTTTGTACCCGTGTCATGTAATTAATGAAGCATTTTGTCCTGGTCTCATGTAAACGACTGCAAAAATTACTAATTCGTACTGGCCTGAGGTCGTCCCGGTCTCGTGTAATTACCTATCATGTCTGATGGTCCGGGCTGGTGGATTTTACTATTGGGCTAGTGAATTCTGTCCTTAACCCACTTGGCAAGTGAAATTTATTATGAAATTCTAACCACAAAAGAATTGTTATGAACCTTGCTCATCATTGGGCTAGTTAAAATTGACTTTTGGGCTAGTACATGCTAACAACAGCTTGCCCGAATGGGAAGCTGTAAAACTGACTTTCTTTTACACCCTTCCAGAATCTGTTCAGGAGAACTCAAAACTTTATAATTATAATAGACCAAAAGAAATAAACTCAAACACGACTCCTATACTCTAATTAAAATTTTGTAAGTACATTATCAATATGACAGTTCAGTTATTGTCAGTGGCAATGATGTCTCTTCTACGAAATTTCCATAGCAACAAGGAGCAAGTAGGATGGCTTTATTCACAGGCTATGGTTAGGTTTTATACCCTGTGGGAGTTGGGAGAGAACGAGCCATAGGCCAGGGGGCTCGTCATTATTACCTGTGGAGGGGGGGAGGGATGGGGGAGGCAGCCATTTTGCTGGGAATCATTTTCAAAATCTTGGTTGGTTTCAGAGGTCATTTTCACAAAAGAGAGCGTTACCGTTGTAGTCATTTTAATAAGTTTAATGACAGTAATGCAAAGCAGGAACAAGTTTAACCTGAAAAAATTGTGATACTTTGTGCACTGAGATAGACTTGCTTGGACTCATGGTCAGTTTCTTTTGTACTTCCCACAATGATAAAGAAACCTGAAGAAGAAACAACCTCAGTCTCCTAGATGAAACTGTGCAGGTTTATGTAAAGTTTGAGAAAAAATTATGGAAAACCCAGACAGAAAAATCAAAGTAGTGAAATAAACAGTAGTCCCTATTTTTCCTCAGGGATAGTAGAGCGAGCGAGCGTGGAAATCACGCGTCTCGCCTTTCTCGTGTGTGGTGGTTTTAACGAGCGCTTGCGTTTCGCTCGCTCTACTGTCCCTGAGGAAAAATGGGGACTACTCGTCGTCTAATTAAACTATTATCAACTTTGACTTCAGTTCAACTTCGTTTTCTAGGTCGTCGTTTTCTAGACACCCTACAAAGACGGACCATAAGACGAACGAGGAATCGGACAAAAAACGGACATGAAACTGACAAGAAATCAGACAAGAAATTGGAAAAGAAGTCTGATAACATTTGGACAAAACATCGGACAAGAACTCGGACAAAAAAATCGAACAAGCCAATTTTTCGGCCTATTGTTAGTACCACTCAAAATCTTAAACGTCGATAAAACGGCTTCCAAATGGCTCTAGGGTCGAAGAGACAGTGAAAAACAAGACAAAAACACAAGGTAAGTCATTTTTATTTCTATTTTCGTCAAAATGGAATTTATGACGTATTTTGTTTTTTTTCATACATTCTCTTATAAATTTAAAATCCAGTGAACGAATTCCGACAGAGTTTGAGCCGTCTGTGAAAAAATCGGACAAGAAATCGAAAAAAAAATCAGACATCAAATGGGACAAGAAGTAGGACATGAAATCGGACACAAAAACGGAAAAGAAATCTGGCAAGAAAACGAGCAAAAAGTCGGACAAAAAATCGGACGTCAAATCGGACAAGGAAAAGGTCATGAAATCGGACATGAAATAAAAAATGAAATCGAACAAGAAACAAGACAAACAAATCAGACATGAAATCAGACCGGAACAGGCGCGTAACCAGGGGGGTGCACGGGGTGCGTTCGCACCCCCCCACAGGCCCCAAAGGTCCGCATTTTGATACTCAATGTCCAAGTTAAGGAGTGCAGTCGGTTAAACTGAAGTTATAACTCAATGGAAATTGAATTCAAGTTAATTAATGGAAATTCAATTTGCCTCAGTGACGTCACTAGCTTCTACACGAACATACCCCAGGAGGAGGGTATCACAACTGTATGCGAAGCATACGAAGAATTCTATGAGGAAAACCCTCCCATTCCTAACAGGTATTTAAGAGAAATGCCAAGTCTGATTCTACAAGATTCAATGGAAAAGATTACCTCCAAACTCATGGAACAGCCATGGGGACGAAAATAGCCGTAGCTTTTGCTAACATATTTATGGCCAAAATAGAAAAAGAAATACTCAGAAAAAGCACCACAAAACCAATTTTTTGTAAAAGATTAATAGATGACGTCATATCTGTGTGGAACACAAGCAGAGACAAAATAGAGGATTTCCTTGTAAAGGCAAATAGTTTTCACCCAACGATCAAATTCACGGCTTAAATCTCAGAGATAGAAACCACATTCTTAGACACGAAAGTGTAAAAAGGTACCAGATTCAATAAGGAATCTATCCTTGACGTGCGAACGCATTTCAAAGCTACAGAAACCTTTCTGTAGCGCAACGCTGTGTTGCACAAATCGTCGTTGTCTCGTGGAACATCGCCTTTATCGAGATTCGTCTTGGTATGTTCACGGTGCCGATAAAACGTGTGAACTTAGGCGATAGAGAGCTTAAGCAAGTACGACGACGACCACAACGACAACTTCAAAAAACAATTGATTTTATCAGCAAAACAACAGTTCTGCACGTGCATCACGCTTTTTAGTACATTTCTTTGACGGCCACTGCTCGACTACGACGCGAAACCTCCAAATGCGACGTTTTATGGCCGAGGACGAGGAAATACGACGACGAATTCTCCTTTCTCTTTTTGAACCTGGATAATATACTTAAGAATTCAACTCCATGCAGGAAAGGTCGCCTGCATTTGACATAATGAGCCGGTCCAAATGGACGCGATTAAGTTTGAAACAAAGCAAATTTCACTTTTTTTTTACTGCTGCCGTCTTCGTCGTCGTCGTCGCTTAAACTCCCTGATTCACGTCGGACTCGTGCAGTGACGGCCAAGAAATGTACAAACAAACACGTGCAGAGTTGCTGTTTTGCCAACCAATTACATTTGACGTTCTCGTTCCCGTCGTCGTAGTTTCCTCTTAAACTCCTTTGTTTCTCTTTGCGCGAGACGGAGTGATCCTTTAAGGCAGAGACCTAAGTTACACTTCCACTCCTAACTCCTAACAGCGGCCAATGTTCAAATTGTAGCAAAAATTCTCATTTCTTTTTTTTTTTAACCTACGTACAAGCGTTCAGCCGAAGAGGTCAGAGAGGTTTCATTTAAATAGTAACACCACAGGATTTTGTTCATGTATTTGAAAGTTAGAATGCAAGCGCATCTCCCTTAACTTGGCGCCAAAGTGAACATGTCAGTAAATGTCGAGTGACTTATCACATTCATTAAAAGCAAGACCTCTAACACCACTTTTCGCATGATGAAACGTATTTTTGTGCATAAAGTGGTCATGTTCTTGGAGCTACGACTATTTTAATGGATTTCGCTTTGTTGATGTAACCACAGATTCTGCAGAAATTATTTTACCTGAGAAACCCTTTTAAAGGATTGGTTGCAAACGTTCATTGTTTTATTCAGAGCCTTGTACAAAAAGAAGCGAGTCTTAAATTGCTGAAGTTAATAATGCCGTTTGGTATGTGGCATCTGCTCGGAAGAGAAGTCTCCCATGGTGCCTAACCCTGACGCCAAACAATACTAAAACAATTGGAAGAATGAACTAATTAGGAAAGACTTTACGAGCGGCTCCTACACTGCCCATGCCAATGCTTTTTTCATTGTTTAAGTGCATTTATCTGCTCCAGCCTGTTTGCTGGCACTCCTTTCAAATCATCACGGGCAAGTTCCTACCACGTATACGTTAAAAAAAGTGGAGACATGATGGAGCCATGTGGGAGACCAAACCAAAGTTCAAAGATTCTGAAATCCGGTCGCAGCCCCAACTCTGGCCTCTTGGACACCGCGATAACATGGACAGCAGCAAAATCCCAGGCAAAAATATATTACAAGACCCAGTTGTTGGAAAGCAGATTAGCGCTAACCCATGGATAAATTTTAACCCAGGCTCCAGTTGTTTGAGGGCCTATTAGCGATAATCCAGACCCACCTTACTCCCTTTTTTGTTTAAAAGCATTTTCTTGGATAATTTTCCCTTTACTTTTAGAGCATCCAATCATCAATTCCGGCATGTTTCGCACTAACCCTGGGTTATCTTAACCCTGCTTTGAACAACCCGGCCAGACATTTGTCTGAAATAATCTCCCGCCATAACGGACTCTCCCTACTCGAGGTCCCTACAGTGTACGCAAGCGTGACCAGAAACAGCCGCCCTCTCATCGCTCCCCGCCACTAAGAACGTTCTGCAAGCGATCGTGTCCATAAAGAAACGTCCTCAGCGGCAGGGTGCTGAGAGGCTGCTCAAAACAAGACGCACTGACTTCATTTTTCCCGCCCAGTTTGCCCTACCGGATTAAGACTGCCATACCTCACCACCCTCTGCTGTGCATAAGACCTGTACACTTTGTCAATAAGATTACAAGACACAGGTAAAGAAAAGGAAAGGGTTCGGGAGTTTATTAGGACAAAAACTTAAGACCTTACGTAATAAGTACGCTCACAAAATGAAGTAAACGTTTTGCGTTCGTCAGCTTTGGAACAGAAGTTCTTTTGCTCGCGCGCGGTAAATGCCTATTATGACGCCATTTCAGAGTTGGATCTTTCAATATGCAGATCTTTCGTTGAATGCTACGTACAGATCAGCAATGAAGGCCGGTCCAGTTATAGGGCCCTTCGTTTTTTCCTTTTATATGTTACAAAGCGTTTTTCAGTATTTTAAAGGAAAATGTAGGGGAAAAAGGTAAGAAAGTATCTTCTTGCTTTTCTTTTGAAGACAAAGAATCCGTTTTCGCGATTAGAGTTAAAAGCAGTTTCAAGGCCAACTGAGATGAGGCGCCTCTTGATCGGTTTCAATAAAAGGATAATGCAACGTGGACAAGCTACTAAAACACTTAAACAGAAGAAGGAGAACTATTCCTGAAGCAGTATTTAGAAACTTGTATTTTGGGTCAAAAAGATCGTGCAGCTTTCGGTAATTTTTTACTTATTGGTATTTACTGTAAGTTGTCGGTTTTCGAAAACAAAAAAATATCGTCCATGGTAACCGTTTGTAATAATCTTGGTGCTGACCTTAAGGAACGCAGTGTTTGTGAGAGCCTGCCTTCACTTTGGTCAGCAGCTGAGACGCAGACTCGTTCCCAGTCGTCGGAAGATCGCGCTCCGTTCCAAGCCTCCTCGTTTTATTTGGATAGCGCGAACTGACCTGGGGACGAGGCTAGCTCGGGCGTGAAACAGGAGTGCGCGCGCGTGCTGCCTCACGCAAGCAAATAACTGATAACCGAATTAAATTTTCCAGGGTTTTTACTTTGTCAGTGAGATTACAAGACATTTCTAGTGCATCAAATTTTGTATTCGAAACTTAAAGCTATTTTAGATGAAATATGATCTGTAGCTAATTGTGTTGTGTCTATTTTTATTATCAGAGAAGTTGCAACGAGTGAAATTAAAATTCAAGAATTAAAGGAAAAAGCGCCAGTGAAAATAGAACAGGAAAGTCAAAAAGTAAGCTTATGTTTACTGCATGTTATGAACAACCCACTTTAAGTTATTCTTGCAAACAAGTTTTTGTGCCATTCATTAACTCCCTTATTGGATTATTGACTGTGTGTGGGCCTGTCTGCAATGAGGCTTAGAAATACTGATTTTTTCTTTAATATTTATGAGGTTTTTGGAACTTGACGGTCCATGTAACAAATAAAACGGAAGAATAAATAAAACAAATAAAACGGAACAAAACAAATAAAACGGAAGAAAGTGAGTAAAATAATTATGAAAGCAGTCGATATCAGTTATAAATCTATTCTCTCCCATTTTGAAGTTTCATTTACAAAACTAGACACTTTCAAGTTATATATAGTAAAACGCCAAGTCGGCTCGTGTTCAATACTCATTTCATAGTCTGATTTATAACTTATTTCATTCATCTTGATTGACTAGTGCCCCGTTAAACGTAGAAGATCAGAAGAGCAGTTAGACAACATTAAGACAAAGAAACAAAGAAAGTCGATCTCACTGTATAAACTTAAAGCCATCAAGATGATTGGTGAGGGAGCGTTTGGAAAGGTGAGAGACTGTCATAAGGATCAAACAATAATCACAAACAATTCGTAATATTAATTTTTACAACATTTAGAGTAACTTTCGGCGGATCACCGCCCTACAGTGGCGAGTATCTCGTGGTCAAAAACTAGCGATTTATCAATTAGTTGATTAATCAATTAAATAAGTAATTATCTATTTATTAATTTCAAAACTCTGTTAAAGAAGTTGAAAGGCTTTGTTTTCTTTCGTTTTTGCTAAGGGTACGCTCTATTAATTACCAAATAAGCGAGCAAAGGTGAATATGATATACACACTGTGTAATTCCTTCTTTCTCCAAAAAGTGGATGATATCTGGGGCTATTTTTCCAGTAAGAAGTAACTTGAAGTTCTTTGAAAAAAAGACCGGTAATACCGCGCCTATCAACTGCTTCATCTGAAAGTTTGTTCAATTCCAAAATATCTGCAATGTTTTTATAGGTTCGTCTTTGTGTGGACCGTCGCACCAAGAGACAATACGCGGTAAAGCAGATAATTGAACCTGACCCAAGCAGTGTGGAAGAGAAAGTATTGAGCTTAGCCTCGTCCAGTCCTTTCATAACAAGACTTTGTGAAGAAGTTGAGAACCCGGTATGATACTTTTAAAAATTGTACGAACATTTTTACTCCTTCTACCCCCGGTATAAACTCCCACTCCCGCCCGTCCGCCCAGGTGGAAAAAACGGCCGGCCAATTACATTTAAAGCATATCGACATCTTGACGAACTTGAAGGAAATCAGGGGACTACAAGCCTTCCGAAAGATTGTGAATTATACCTGTGCTATAAGGCTTGAGTGAGGCGTTTGTGGTCGAGCGTTAACACCTCAAACTCTGGATCTGAAGGTCCGAGGTTCAAGCCTCGCCAGTCGCGTTGTTTCCCAAGACAAGGAACTTTACTCCACTTTGTCTCTCTTCACCCAGATGTATAAACGGGTGCTAGCGACATACTGCTGGGGGGTAACCTTGCGATGGACCAGCATCCCGTCCAGGGGGGAGAAGCAATACTCCTAGGCTTGCATCATGCTTCGGAAACCGGTATAAACTCCGACGGTATGGGTCTTTGGCTCGTGTACGCCTTTACCTATAACGGCTCCACTGGGCATTTCTCTCTGTGCCTCATGATCTTTCTCAATTTTGTTCACTATAACCCAAAAAGAAAATAGTATGTTATGGGTCAACTAATAGCTTCTTTGTATTTTCATATTATAGTACCCTGGCCATTTCATTATACTAGAGTTCGTTGAAGGAGGAGACCTTTTCACTGAATTGGATGAGAATGGATGGCTCAGCGAAAATCGAACTAGGTAATCATACTTCCATACCAAAGTTTTCGAGATGCTGTTGAGAAAACAGTCTATAACGAGACAATGAAAGAAAACAGGACAGAATTTAACACATTTGGTGAAGTTTTCCTTTTAAACCGAATACCTGCTAACACTTTAGTAAGAGACGTTCCATGGACTACCCCTGTGGACCACGCCTAATTTTCGTAGATGAATTTAACCAGAGGTCTAAACACATTTTTGGAACCTTAAATGGACGAAAATGTGGTCAGTTTTTATTTTCAGTGGTAGGGGCTCCTCATATTTTACACTCGCTTTCTTTTTTTTCAATTCCATACCAATTGGATGGGTTCGTTTTAGTCTGGTGAAGGAGTCAACATATTTTAGAGGGGCAGAAGTATGGAGGAAGTAGTATCCTATGCAGTTTGTTTCGTGTTCCTGTTGTGTGAAAATCGAACCAAAAACAGCTGTGTATGAGACTAAGGACGAAATATTGTTTCTCCTCCCAGGCTTAACCAAACCCATGATTGGAATTCAGGAAAAATTTGAGCAAGTGTATAATATGAGGAACCTTTAATCCTGATAATAAAGACGCAGTTTCATCCATTTAAGGTTCCTAAATCTCGTTTAGACCTCTAGCTGCTAAAGATTCAGCTTCAAAAATTAGGGGTGGTCCGCGGGAGTAGTCCATGGACCGGGTCCACGAAGAGGTCAACGGACTGGGTCCGCGGAGATGGTCCATGGACCGGGGGTCATGTTTTGTATACGTCCATATACGCTTAGTCATTCAACAAAGCGTTAGTTACAGTTTCGTTAGGAATCGAACTATGAACTATAAGCTATCAATTGAGGTCATTTAATCTTGCTAATGAGACGTAGTATTTTACTTAAAACATCATATTGCTTGTCGTTTTGTTTTAGGTTTTACACTGCTGAGATCATCGCTGGATTGCAATTTCTACACCAAAAAGGTGTCATTCACAGGTGAGCAGAAATATGAGAAATAGCTGAAATTCACACTTGGTGGGTGATTTCGATCACTTGCGTATTAATATGGCAACGATGAAAAAAAACCAATGAATTGATACCGTCGGACCTTTATTTTGCGGCCTCCTAAACGGCCAACAGTTACGTACATCGGGCATCGTGGGGGGGCGGGGGGAGGGACAAAAATCGTCAGCCGTAAATCACATGAAGTAGGTGATCGTTTGCTAGATCATTGTCTATCATGACAGGACTCAGCGCTCTCTAAGGTCCTTGTATGGGTGAAGAAAGTTAAATTTATAATTATGCGGCTATTTATCCCTTTTCCTCGAAGACTACGGTTGCATCTCTTTTGGCTCAGTTTACCTAAAAATCAATGCCTTTAATATTTGCGTAAATTTTTATTTATCCTATGACAGGGACTTGAAACCTGAAAACATTTTGCTGACCAAAAATGGGCACATCAAAATCAGTGATTTCGGATTGTCCGCTATCATCGATCCAGTTACACAGGAAAAGATTATCAACGCAGAAATTATCGGGACACCTCTTTACATGGCTCCTGAGGTAAACCATGGTACTGTAGCGTTAGTTAAGGGGGAAGTATGGTTAAAAGCATTATTTTTCGTTGATTTCCACCACTTCTCCTAAATATCATTCAATCAAAAAATGACTCAATTATGTTGCAGTCCTTAATTCACAATTATTTTTGAATTTTTGGATGATTTTTCGAATATTTTTACCCTATAAAATTTAGGGGGGAAGATGTTTAAAATTTTGGGAAAATGGGAAAATATTAGATTTGGGGTTGTTAAAAACTGAAATATGAAGTTAATAATTAGTAGACAATTACCAGATAGTCCACCACCACAACAAGGTGCCTCTGATCCCATTAGCGGAATAACTGGTACACCTATTCTTACTAACCTAATCAACATCATCTCCCAAAAAACAAACCGTAATTCCCCCTTAAGCCCTGTGAACCAAGTGTCTAAATCAGTTTCTCGTGTAGCTTCTTGGTCAATAACTCAGTATTTTATCCCAGATCTATGACCCATTTCAGAACCACCATCCAAAATATCCCTGGGCCTGATATCCTGCTTTTTACTTACTGAATCAGTGCCGATAATTAACGCTAAAACAAATCTTTATACAGGCTATTAAATACGATGTTTTCTTGTACGAGATCAGATATGTTACAGGTTAAATTTGGTTTCAGGTTAATTTTGATTTGAGCTAGCTTGGTTAAATCTCAATTTTCTTTGTATCCTCGCTCTAATTCATGAATAATTAGGGACATGAAACAAAGCAAATAGAGAACCAACCTACGTTAAATAATTTTAACCTGAATATAATTTTGACCTGTAACATATATACTAATGTTAGATACACTGGAAGAAGGAAGAGCTGTTCAGTTTCCACAAAGCTAACAATACACGACATGATCTACTCATTAAAAAATCACAAACCTCGTAGTAAGATCTTTTGCTTAGGAGAAGCTCGACTTGTTTTCATGGAATAACATCTTATCGTGCTGATGTTAGCTTAGTGCAAGGTGTTATTTGTTGCAGATTATCTTACAGGACCCATACGACGCTTGTGTGGACTGGTGGGCTCTTGGAGTCATGGTGTTTACGATGCTCACTGGAATGGTTTGTATTTCAAATGTTATTTCAGTTATCTTGTTCTTAACACGAAAAAGGTGAAACTGAACTTAGACTATGATGATGGTAACCTACTTAGTTAACAATGTTATCCTTTGTGTGTACATTTCAGATGCCGTTTGATGCTGAATCGGAGGATGAGTTATTTGATTTGATCGTATATGACTACCCACAGAAACCGGACAAAAAAACATTGTCTGAGCTGTCCATTGACGCCACTGAATTGTTCCTACACGTAAGTGTCAAATACATAAATCATACATGAAAGGTTATATTCCCTTATTTTTTTACATGTACCAAAATTATTTATTGTCAGTCGATATCAATAGAGGCCACACTTAGTGAAAAAGTCCAAAGATTGACTGCCTTCTCCCCGGGGTAACTGCTTCCCATAACGGATTATACAGGAAGGCTGCTCCACCAGAAAGGGTTTCCTTTTTTAGGATTCAGGTATATTGAAGGGTAGAGAAATCGTTTTTATGTTGGAATGAGTGAAGAACAAATATGACTAGACTAAAACTAGGTCAACGTTAACTTCCGTTACGGAGTATCATAAAAGCCTAACATTTCAAAAAACAAAGGTCTCTGAGTTGAGATTAAATACCGGTATTACAAGACATATCACATTTTTGGATGTTTTCAGTTACTAGAGAAATATCCACAAGACCGTCTCGGGTATAAAGGAGGCGATTACCCCTGGATCAGAGATCATGCTTTCTTTCACGGTTTTGACTGGAACAGACTGGAGGCATTGGAACTCGACCGCCCACCTTGAAACTAAGGTTTGTTTCCTCAAAATCCTTACACATGGGAAAGTTAACAGAATGTTTAAAAAAACCTCGGGTTTTATTTACGTTTTTTCCTTCCGATCCCCGAAAATGCAGGGTGTGGAGTTGATTTGTCTCAAAAACTCGTCGTCACTAGGTGTTAAGCTCTTTATTTCACAGGGGCACTTAACGAAGGTTTCCTCTTATATACATTAGTAACACTTTTTAGACTATCCAGCTAGGGTACTTTTGGATCTCTAGAAAATGCATTCAAAGAGGCTCTATCAAATTTGCATCTCTTCGGTCATCCTAGGGGAAATTGAATCTTTTTCGAAATTACAAGGCCTTCGGATTTAGTAATCCAAAACTCTTAGATAAAATTTAACTTATAGCGAAAGTGATAATTTTTCTGATCCCTCTCTTCATCACATTTTTGAATCCGAAAATTTCAGGTTTCTTTTTTCTACGAAAAATAGCCTACCTGGCCGGCAGTGAAATGTGAAAAATTGAACTTAAAGAATTTATTAGTTGAGGTTCGGAAATTGTACTTGATTAGAACGGTCATCCAGAAATGTTTATCCGTCTTTAAGTAAGAGAAAATTCTAGGAAATATTTGCTTCTCCGAACAGATAATTTACAGAAAACACTGAGTCGCTTGATATTACCATAAGCCTTTAAAATCTTCTCAGTGTCGTTTATTTGTTGTACAGTAAAACCCGTATAAAGCAGGCACCATCATTTAGTCGGACAGGACACTAGAGTAGATCGAGGAGAACCCAAAATTTTTATGTCGTGCCTCATATTTCCCACTATACTGTTGTAATGCAAGGGGTTTTTAAAACTAACCCTTGTTGTTTTTCTTAAAGGTCTGGAATTATGATCAGTACTGGAAACAAGACATTTTTACATGATGATCAGTGTTGTGTGTTGTTCGGCAAGAGAACGACGTTTCTAAAATAAAGGCTTTTCACTTTGTATCCGATAGTCGTTTGTTTCTTTTTTCAGCTCACTTGCCAAGCGTTGTTCCGAAAATGATTCACAACCTTAGTTATGTTTTAAAGCTTTATAAAAATCCAGTTGATGCAAAAAGTACTTTGATTAAAAGCAGTTCTATAGCTTGTTTAGAAATGTTTTTTTCCTTTCCGATTATTAAAGCCCCCTCGGGTATAAACCCCTCTGTTTATAATCTTTTATGATTTCTCCCAAAAGACCCAGCTAACACGCTAAAAGCGACAGTTTCGGTGTGTTGTTTTTTTTTTACAGCGTTTGGTTACTTGACGAATCTAAGCTGTATCAGCTAACGAAACCGCAATTTGAATATGACGAAATTGTGCCTCCAATCTTGATATCAGCTTGCTGGCAAGGGCTTGAACTTTTCTTAATCTTACCGGCAAGATCCTGAAGTTTCAAACTTCTTCCTGCAAGACCTTAAATTTGAAATATCTTACCGCCTTGAAATCGTGCCGGAAAGATCTTGAAATTTTCCAAAAATTGCTGGCCAGATCTTAAACCCAGACGATCGATTCTGGACGCAATGGATCTCTTGTAACACTCAACTACGGATAATTAAGTTTTGCGATCAGATTAAGTGGCACCTCACCAGCAGACATTGTTCTTCGTAACACATCTCCCTTTACTTTGCACGGTCTTTCTTAGCCCTGGCTGTTTTTCTTTTCAACGCTTTTCCTTACAACAGTGTGTTTTTAACGCTTTCCTCACATCATTTGTTCGTATGGTATTAGTATTCTTTCCTTTTTAACGTTTTTCCTTCGCGAGTTTGTTTGTATGGAGTTTGGTGTTGTCTTTTATTAGAAGAAAATGTTACAAATAGTAAGATATATATGGTAGTTTAGAAACGGTGACCACTACCATACGAGAACACAAGTTTTTACAATCATGGATGAAAGTCTTGGGACAGTTTTACAGTCCTAACGCTTTTAATTTCAACACACGCCAAAAACACGTTAGCGCGCGACTAACAATGTACCTCCTCAGTTCCTCCCCCACCCCACGGACAGTATCGAAACCATTACTGACCCACAATTTCTTTGATCGTCCAACATTGAACTGGGTCAGCACTGCTTTTCCGAACGTTCGTGAATCACATAGAACTGCTGATATGCTTTTACTGTCTCAAGGACTTTTGTCCAGGATTGTAGATATGCTTTTCTTGATACTGAACTCTCCAACGCAAAAGGGGATAACATGGCTGCCTATTTTCTACACATGAGAGGGCTGCAAGAGGAAGCCCGAAAACTACATAAATAAAAACACTGCTGCAGCTTAGAGGATATTGAAAGTTGTAGGATTGAGAGATCTGGGCCCAGTTCCTTGAAAGATGATTAAGTTTAACCCAGGATTAAGCCAAATTTTAAGCAAGGTTTTCTTGTCCAAGAACATGTTACTCGAGCTTACAAAATACTGTTGTGTCTTTACTTCGAAAAAAAGAAATGATAACACAAAACTTACTCTAAGTATTGCATAGAAAGGTAAATACAAATAGTGGCACAAAATGTTAACCCCCATTAGCGCTAATCGGCCTTTCAGGGACCGGGCCTCGGTTTTTTGTTTTTGTTTGGTTAATATAAGCCTACTGCTTTTTTGCCGTTCTCGTTGCCGTCGCCGACGTCGTTGCTTAAACTCCCTAATAATTGATAGCGTTCGTTTTGTGAACCAAAAATCCCGGAGGGTACTTGCTTACATTTGCCTTACGCTTGGTATAGGGTAAGGATTTGGAAAGTCAGACGGCACATCCCCACCACAGATTGCTATGAATACCCCCCTACCATCTCCCCAGGGAACAAATCCAAAGTATTTTATGAACTGGGCTCGTCACAGGCAGCCCAGTTAATAAAATAAACTGTTTAATTGGTTGACCCTACCAACCTTCATTCAGGAGACAAAAATGGCTGCGAAGGACACTTTTAGCAAATAGACATTGATAACAAAGACTCCAGCCAATGGACATGCTGTATCGTCTGGCGGTCAAACGGGTTTTGGGGCGCGAGCAAGGGCGAGACACCCGAGTCGAGAGGAAGGAAAAGACAAGAAAAAAAATTGTCTGTTGTGTAGGCCGGGTTTAACGCAAGGATGGCTTGGTTGGGCCATCTTTTCTAGGGTTTTCCGGCTATCACAAAAAGCCGCAAAGACCAAGTTGAAGACTTCTCGAAGACTCGACCAAGTTGCCTGCGTGCAGACGTCTCCTATTTCCTTTGTTGCACGCGGAAAAGGGACGTCTGCGTAACGCCGTCGCTAATCGTGTTCCAGCGTCCTGCTGGGTTCCCAAGATCTTGGGAACACGCTGTGATAGGCTGACACACAGTGCGCATTGTTTGACTTAACGCTGATTGGTTGTTATCGAATGTGGTCTGATAATGTATGCGGTGATTTAAATGATTTATGTAAGCGGGGTTTTCTAACCAAAACAAATCAAAACATGTGCGATTGTGTGCTGTGTTTTTCGTCACTCCAAAAGCAGAGCGATCGAAATCTTGTGCGGGGACGCGGAAAATTTAACGTGTACGAGGAAATTATTTCTTTACAATTTACTGTGCATGACACATCACATCATATTTGTAAACAGTGTCTGAGAAAACTACAAAAGCGGCGTGGACTTAGCACTAGGCAGGCATTTCGGAGAAAGCCAGCCAAAGAAACTAAAATCTTTATTTAGCCGTAACAAACAGAGGTCAAGAAAATTTAAACACTTTACAACTGCATCTGAAATCAAATCCTATCGGGAACACCCACAGAAGCATAAACCACAAGAAATGATTACTCAGTATGCATGTAACAAACCTGCTTCATGACCTCTAAATGAAAGACTTAGTGCGGCAAAAATGAGATTTACTCAGTCAAAGGTTAGAATGCTACATGCACTGTGTAGTGCTAGTAATCTTCGCGCGAGAGAGAAAAGAAGAAAAACCTCTGTTCAAGCAGACTCTCAAGGTCACGTTTCGCCCGTATCACGAGCTTATGATGTTTTGTTTGGCCTGTCAACTCTTATTTCTAAACGGATATTATTTCACAATTTATGCGAAATAGAATACCCTGCCAGCGGGACGCTGGAACACGATTAGCGACGGCGTTACGCAGACGTCCCTTTTCCCCGTGCAACAAAGGAAATAGGAGACGTCTGCACGCAGGCAACGACCAAGTTGTGCGCAACATTTGGCGACCGCGTGTTTATTTTGGCTACTGGGAACAAACATAAAATTCAAAGATGGCGCGACTGAGGTCCCTTCCAGGATGTTTTTGTATTTTCCGACATCAAGGTTTGTAGCCATTATTTGCATGCTTTAAGAGGAAATAATTTAATTCAAGAGTCTTTTGTTACCTTTTTCGTTTCTTTTCTTATTGACGTTTTGATAGGAAGTTGTTTTTTACCCCAACAATATTCACCGGCACGTATTAATGTGTTTGCCCGTGTACTTGTTACACTTACGGTGCATTATAGCATATTGTTTAACCCAACGGCAGTCCAAAGATTATATTTATATGATATATTTCCCCCCAGTAGCATTAAACTGTTCTAATTTGACAATATTATTCTTAACAGAAATGTTTTCTTAAGGGCTTCTAAAGGGTAGGGTTGGAAGTAGCCCCAGGGGGGTAGCCTGCGAATACAGCCGTTTTTCGGTGCTTCTATCTCGCCGCTTGGGACGTTTCGCAGGAGAGACGTCTGCGCCTCAACAACAGAAGTGCCATACTGATGACTTAAGGGGTAATTACATGAGACCGGGACGAACTCAGACGGGTACGAGTTCATATCAGTCTCCATACATTTCTTTCCATCCGTTTACAAGGGACTGGCCTAAAAATGAACTCAGACCGGTCTGACTGCATGTTAGTCGCTAACCTGACACGAGTTACTTTTGTTCGGCAGGACTTTTCTGGTGACGGGTGACGGGTAGCGGCTGACGGGTGATGGGTGGCGGGTGGCGGGTGAGGGGTAGCGGGTGACAGGTGGCGGGTGGCGGGTGGCGGGTTAAAAATATATATGAAAATA